GCTTACTGTAGATATATTGTTATCCTGGTGTCTGTCATTGTAGTAAACACACTGAGTATTGGTTTAAACTGACATTAAACAACGTAGACGTTAATGAGCTAGATTACTCTTTAATTTCAGTATATGTTTTATTCTTATCATGTTACAGCACTTTTGAATAATAAGAACAATATTTCCTCAATCGATGATTGTAAGTATTTGTTCATAAAATTCATTTTCTCTTTGAAATAATTCACGGTAATAATCAATGTATTGATAGTGCATGTTTTGACCTACCTGTAATAATGGTACTTTCTGTTTATCTATAAAAATAATCTATATCAACAGATTGATGTAAGAAGTAGGCTTGTACAACTTTCATGTACATGTAATTTCAGTAATAATTTATGATCATCATAATACATTACCATACATTGTAGTAAGTAGAAATATCGCTAACAGGAAGCATGATAAACTATAAGATTGTCTGGTATTTGTAACTATATTTCTAGCAACATTTTGTAGTCATATATGTTGATTTATGAATACGTTTCAGGTTTATTTTCTTAAATTTATCATCTATTCCATCCACCTATAAGATGTATCTTACTATAGTAAACATGTAAATTAATATTTATTCTGTTGTCATTATATCGTGTTATAAGTTGTAAAATACAAATATCTTGACAGAAATACTGTCTTAACTTTTAATGTTACATTGAATAACAAAAGAAACCTAACACAACATTGAACAATAAATAAAGAGAACTCTACTAAGAAAGTTTTCTTATCGATGATATCGTTTACTGAAGTTGTACAATCCAATTTATAGTGATATAACAGATACAAGAGGGTATTAAGAAAATAGACTGTAACGGAATATTAATATGTTCAGAATTCTAAAGTATCACAAGACGTTTTTAAGAAAAGATGGATAGTGGCTAGCAGTGGAATCTAAAATGCACGTTTCGTCCTATATATGCCTACATGAAACTGATCAATTGCAGTCCTCAATAACAATTGGATGATACAAGTAAAACAATACCAAGTGAATATCACAAGAAGGTTACTTAACTACTTAAAAGTTAACAAAATGTTCTAAGATGAAAGCAGAAGTAGAAGAGACAATTATACGCTTGAAGAATATGAATAAGGCGGGGAAGGAGTAAAAAAACCTATCAAGGTAATAATGGTATTAAGTACAGAGCATATGCGGTTCATGATTGTGTTACTTATGGAATAAGTGTGTAGCATTTATTTGGAAATTACTGAAACCAAGAAATCTTCAGTAAGTATTGAAGTAACTTATAGTATCAATCCCAGCAATCTGAGTGTCTTATCTACCTTAATAAATTGACAAATTGTCTTCGTGAATAATATTTTGTATTTTTGGTTATTCACCAATCAAAGACAAATAAAAAAATGTCTTTTAATTTTCATAAATGAGCGAGTAGGCTGTCAAACAGTTCGATCTGTGTTTTTATGCAGCTATGAATATTACTTTCAAAAATATAATATAACTACACTACTAAGATTTGATCATAGAAATATTTGAGTTATTTCTCATATATTTTGGATTATTAAGTAAGAAAAAATGATATACGATCTCGGAGTAATGTGTAATGTGAGCATATAAATAGTTGTAAATTTGTATGTTTCTAGGCTATTAGAATATGTATTACACATGTATGACCATAGTTTTAATAAGCTGTTTAGAAGATAAAATAAAGCAGATTGTAATTTCAACAGTTGAGATCATGAGTCAATTAGAGCTAGAACACCATGGAAAACCTGGAATTACTGGACGGCCTATTGTGCGACTCCTCAGCACTACTGAGGATCTCAGCTGTTGAAACTAATACAATCTCCACAAAACCCCTTCTGATACTAAAGCAGATTGTATAAAGTAAAGACAAGATATTTCACTTATTCTTTCAAGTGATATTTTATTTATGACACGATAGACTTATTTATTACAATCTATGGTTTCTGTAATCTAGCAGATTTTAGATTTATTACTTTGTTTAAGAAAGTTAAACAAATAGACATTTCACATTAAAGATCTTGCTCTTTTCCCGCGTAAATCTTAATTGTGATAAATAATAATAATACGTATTATACTTCCATCATTATGCAAATTTTTGAACTGTTCTTAATCTAATTATTTGTGCATAGATTTCAAACTGTTACAAATTGTTTTGTAAGAAAAGATGGATAGTGGCTAGCAGTGGAATCCAGGAGGAAACGCGCGTTCTAAATTCCACTAATAGCCACTATCCACCTTTGCTTAAAAATCTTGTGACTTAAGGCTGTATCGAGACAATCCGCACAGGAAGCACATATGCCAACATGAGACTGATCAATTGCAGTCCTAAATAACAATGGGAAGATACAAGTAAAACAACACCAAGTGAATGTTGCAAATTTTTTTTATTTCCTTTTTCTGTATTCATAAATATCAAATTAATTCTCACATATTCGTTTACATGTGTATCTGATTTTGTAAATTTGAAGAAAATATAGAGTATAACACGACCATTTCACAAATGAATTTCGTGATGGAATATAACTTTACATGTTTCTCGAAGCTAGCATTGTATTAGTAATAAGACTAAGAATGAATTAAATTAATTTCCTTTAGAATCAATTCACAAAGCTGTAAGAACGAATAACCAGATAGTTATAAACAACATAGAATCTGGAACCTATATACATCGACTGAAATTGACGCACCACATCATTATGGAGATGAAACTGTTATGACAAACACAACAGTAGTACAAATACTAACATTATCAGAAGTAGTAACAAAATATTAGACATACAATATATGATTTGAGGAGAAAATATAGGTTACTGAAACAAAAAATGTAGTCAATTGAGAGACTCAAAATCTGAGAGAAGACAGAGAATGGATGCATCTGCACAAATGACAGTGATTCTGAGCCATGTTATATCACATCTGTAACGATTGGACACGATAATCTAATCGACATCGACCAGGTATCTTACACCCACAAACATGATTCAGTCTCACTGTTGATGACTTAACGATTGATACGAAGTTTTGGACTGACTAATCTTAGCTTTGTCACAGCCTAATTCTATATCATTCAACATCACACGTCGAGGTAGACAATGCTTGGTAATTCGTACCAGACACCTCGACTACTTTAGTCGATGGAGATTTACTACATCATCAACCGATTCGCCCTCGCTACCACGTTTCCTGCCCCTAACTCCCAACAACAATCTTCAGCAAATATATAAATACACAGAATAAACTTGCTTCTCCAGGATTCATCGGGGTCAGTGGCGAAAACATAGTATATCGGTGCAATAATTTCATTCCTTATCAAAATGTCTTGTAGTTAGACATTTTGAAGAGTCGAGATTCTCCATAAACCTCAATTATTGATTCATCTGAATTTCAGTCAGTGAGAAGGTATTTAGAGAACAAAAAGTAACGGGGTATATTTTTATCTCTCTGTGTTTTTACTGCCCTGTTTATTCGGACAGTGCACGAGCGACTGTGTACCAAATTCCCGCTCATAAATGCCTGTTCCACATTTTAATGTGAAAATTAAAAGGTTAACTAGACAGATTAAAGGTAAGCCATAACTAAGAAAAAAACTGTAATAAAGTACACCAAAACAAATGTGATTACCACTCTGGATAATAAACCAGTACTTCCAGGGTAGGTGAAGTGTAAAGTCAAATTGTTTTTAAACACATAAAGGGGGTTTCAATTTCCGTATAGCCAAGGCTTCAATAAACCTTAGTAAACGTCCTTGAAGGCTTTTGTATAACACTACAAATGCTGACTTGATGTCAACCTTATGACCAGTCTCAATGAAATGTTCCGCAATGGAGGATGATGTCTGTCTATCCTGTGATCTAATTTGACCATTGGAATCCATTCGTTTCTGAAACCATTTTGGTTAGTTTCCACCCACCCTTAATTGTAAATCACGATTACTCCTCCCTATATACGTGTTTCCGCACATACATGTAAATTGACAGACACAATGAGATGTGACACAACCGCTTTTGTGCTGTTTGGGCTTTTGGTGAAACATAGACCTTGTCTTTTCAATAATGACAATTTGGGCTGGATAAAATGTCCGGTTGGTAGCTAATTTAAGTCTCCGTCTCAACATGAGACCATTTGTGTCGCCTCTAAATGGTAACGTAATGTAAACTCGCGTCATAAGTCTAGTCGTTATTGCAACCCTTCCAGCGGTTTATAAACTTCAAAGAAAAACCATTATTTATTAACGTATCAATCAAGAGCTTCGTCTCTACTTCATTAGTATCACTAGTACAAATACGATCGATTATATTGAATAAGCTCTTTATTAAACCACGTTTGTAATAAATAGAGCAGTGACTATGAAAATTAGGACATTGCCCTGTCCATGTTGGCTTTCTATATATAGAACGTCTGATGGAGCCATCATCTCTCCTACTAATCAGGATGTCTAGAAAAGGAAGTTGGTTGTTCTTCTCTTCTTCACATGTAAGACAAATGTTCTTTTGACTTCTATTGGATTCTTTTAACAAGCGGTTTATGTCTTCACCTTTATCCTCTGTTATATCATCGATATATCGCTTATGCAGAGCCATCTTTCGAATTGGGTCTTCAACTAAATTTTCAACATATCCCATGAACACATCAGCCAGAAATGGTCCTAAAGGGTTACCCATAGCTACACCATCTATTTGTCGAAAGTGCTCACCTCCAAAAGTGAATTTTACATTATCTGTACACAACAATAATAAATCTTTAAGTGTTGACAGGAAATTGTAGTGGAAGGTTATTCAAAGAGATATAATCACACAAAATATCAATAGTTTTCCTGAGAGGTACATTTGTAATTAAAGTGTTCATGTCAATGGAGCACATCGTCTTTGTCTTTGTATTTATGTCCTTTAAGTATTTAATTAATTCAAATGAGTCAGTCAAGGAATACTTACAATATTGATTTCGGATAGGCTTTAATACTTTTGTAAGCCATTTTGCAAGGTTGTGTGTAAGTGCCTAAGATGTCGATTTGTCATAAAAACTACAAACTTCCACAAACTACTTATTTTAATTTTCAGTGACAAGGTCTAGTTAATTAAGTTGATTACAATGAACAGAAACGGTTGTTAAACTACTGAGAAACCCATTTTAATAGGTTATTCACTTTATGATAAATAATTAAAATAAAACCGATTTTCTTTGACTTTATTCTACATATATATATATATGATGCAAAAAAATGTTCTTCATTGAACAGTCAGCGTCGGTTTAGTGAATAGTATCAAAGTTCTATTGGTAATATGCTTAGAAACCGTTCAATAAGTGTAATTTTTTATATGTATTAGATTTAATCATAAATTTGTAAGTAGTTTGACGAACATTATCAATGATAATACTTGATAAAATTTTCAAAACTAAGTAATATATATATATATATATATAGAGAGAGAGAACTTATTTATTTTAGAAATAATGTAAATAATCTACAGTAATATACGCGTACATGGACGGCAGAAACAAAAATGTAATTACAATACTTTCTTATATTTGAAATATGGTGTAAAGTTGTTAAACAGTAAATATCCATATATGTAAATATACATATGGGTAATTAATATGTTTATGACAATTAATATTAAATGTGGTAGGTAAAAATATAACTAACACTATAAAATTACACCAAAATTACATTGGGATATGGAGTAAAAATACAAAATGTGAAAATGAATAATTCAGATTTATATGCCGCTGATTTTGATTTCTGTTTGCATTCATAAATTTTATTAATAAACTCATATATGTGTAATTTAAAAAGGTGTAACAACACGTTTATATGTTAAATCATTTCATCCTGAAATATTTATTGATCATTTGATTTTCCAAGAAATATAATGAAAGAGTTTCAACGAAAGAAAGAAAGAAAAAAACCAAGTATCAGAAGGTGTATGTTTAAAGTGTAGAAATTCAAAGAAAAAATTAAATGGTTTATCTTGTTGAGATGATGGATTCAAAATGGCAAGTACATGAATCCAAAAGAAAAATAAAACGATTGATATTTTAAAAGTTAGTTGAAAAGAAGGCAAGGAAATGGCACTGCATGCAGAGAGATATATTTAAATCGGACTAAATGTATGTACAAATATGTTATGTACAGAATTTATGATGCTTAATTCTATTTCTAAAAGAAATACTCAGTTAAATTCACATGAATGAGATGTTGGAAAGTAAGAAATTCATATGACTATGCTCTTAAAACACCAATGAACTTGTATGCGAATAGTTAACATTAATATTGTTCTCAACAACATGAGCATAATTTTTCAGAATCAATCCTCAGAATAATTATAAAGTCGAAATAGAAATATTTGTTTGTTTATTTTATTGTGAAAATCAAAAGAAGTGATACGGTTTTAGTGATGATTTGTTTCGACCAGTATATCTATCTATATATAGGCTTATTTACTTTCAAAAGAAGAATAAACAAGTGTTTTCCTTTAACTTAATTTAATTGTTTTACACATATATTGTTCTTCAACAAGGTCATGTTTCCACTTATTATGATGAGTTTATGCAACATGGATAATATTTTATCTCCCTGCAATTAGAAACGATTAAAAATGTTGATGCCTAGTATTGGTGAATTTAAGTCACAATGTAAATTGAAGTAATAGATAAATTCATATATGAATGAATGAACGAATGTATAAAAGAACGGATAAAGAAATCAATATACAAGTAGTAACAATATCCATCATTATTTTGAAAATGTACATACGAATGAGAATAAATAACAATGAGAATGATTATAGATGTGGATATATGTTTCTCATTGTATTACCTTATAATTACTAATCAAGAAAAGTATTTAGGAAAACTATAAAATCTAATTTATGAGCGTTTATTTCAGTTTATATATATAAATACCATAATGTATTGGTATATGTAGTAAAGATGTTGGGTTGTGCACAATAAAAAAAAGGTGCAAAGTAATATCTATGAAAATAAAATACATTAAGACTCTGTTATCAATAATTAGTGTACAAGCACAGATCAATATACAGATTACACTCATTTACTCTTATATCATAAACAATAAATATATGAGTACTACAACATATCATTAGGATTTACTTTTCTCTAATTAGTGTCAAAAAAAGACAATTTAATTGATGAGAATAAACTTATAAATCATAAAATAAAGAGAAAACAAGTTTAACGGTTTATTCAGTTAGTAAATCTATTTTGTGTTTTTGGGTTTTAAATGAAAATGGCCGTATGATTGCAAGAAAGAAAGAGATACAAGCAAGGGAAAAATAAGGAAGTATAACTATTTATACACTTAAAACTATTCAATGAAGTATTATTATTAATAATAAAACAATAAAATATCAATATGTGTCAATATTGTCATGATTAATGTCACCGTTAATAACTTTCTATTGAACAGTTTAACAAAGAAATAAATCACAACAACAACAACAACATTGACATCTGTAATACATTTAAAGAATTGTGTTTATATGCATATGTATTTAGTAAATTTTAATAAATCACTTATATGAATCTTGTATAAGTCAGTAATGTTGTTAATGGAATAATAAATGTTGGTTTCTCTCATTTTTTTTATTATTATTTATAATTAGATAAATGTTACATTGATGATTCTATATGTGTATAGTTTTGTTTTACTTTATATTGTATAAAAGTATATACTTTGTGTAATGTTGTTATTGTAAACAATTTTCCTATTTCTTTTCTGATTTCTTCGTTTATCTATTTGTGTTTTTTTCTCTCTCTCTTCTCCTTTTAATAATTAAAAACCTTCAATAATACAATAATTTTCTAAACCAGCTAAGAGAATATAAACAAACCATAAGAAAAATAAAAATAAAGCTGAAGTATATTTTGCAACTTTTGGACCACCCAATTCACCACCAATAGATTTTTTACGTCTAAACATAATTAAAATAATTGCTATCACAGCAAATATACAAAATGTAGTAACGGAGAAACCTAATGATCCTGGTTGAACTAAAAATTGTGTTCCTTTAATTGCATGATATATAGCAGCTATACTCCAGCCTAAACCAATGCCTAAGAATACATTTACAGCATTGCTACCAGTTACATTGCCTATAGATGAATCAGCGTATTGATCACCGATAGCAGCAACTTTACTTGCAAATGTATCTAAAAACATTTAAATGTGTAGAAAATGAAATAGGTTAGATAACTGTTAAATAAATTTTAACAAAAATATAAGCACTATGTAACAACGATTGTAACATATTACAGTAATGTGGGTAACCCGTAGCTAAATAGTTTTTCGTTTAGTCAAAAATTTACTTTAGATGGTTGACGAACATTGAATAACGTTATGCATTCATAGAGTTGACTAACTGACTATATCGTTAAATTGAATTAGTCATAGACAGCCTTGTTATATTAGTCACATTGTATGGGTTGGTCTGTGGGAAATGTATAAATAAGAAAATTATTTCAGTTTAAGATTCTACCATATATTCGTTTATTCATTTTATCACCTTTGTACTGAATAGACAGAAATATTTACTCTAAACGCCGATTAGTCCCATTCAACAGATCCTCAACATTTGCCGGTGGCACCATCTTGAATCAAACCAGCACGTATAAGCATTTAGCAAATGGATAAATCAAACTGTGATGTTTACTTTAACGAGGAAAGTTTATGACATTCTTAACAATTTTCAACTAAAGATCATAATAGGTCGAAGTATAGTTTACTTCAAACGTTCGTTAGACTTCGTTGTAGTAGAAAAATATACATGAAAAGTAATAATATTGTACTGGAAAAAGAAAGTAACTCCATTTTAAATCACAACCATTAGTGAACAGAAGTAGATATAAATAAGATAGAGACGAGAAGAAACGTATCAAAGAGTTATTCAATTATTTTCATGGCTATCATACAGTGTTTTTTTCATAAAGAAAGCCATTCGCAAAGTTTTTCTTAAAATAAGGTCTTGTAGTTGTAATTAAAAGTATATATTTCTAAGTAAACTCTGAACAGTTGTTTAAATTTGGTTATAATGCTTTAAGGAACAACCCCAGCTTGTTGCAGTCTATGTAACATTTTAGTGAAAAGAGACTTTTTACATGCCAGTGATAATAAAATACCCATAATCATAATAAGTGGCCTAATGATGTCCCATTACTGTTGCATAAACTGTCGCTCATAGTTGTTATATCGTTATCCAATAATTTATTTCTTTAAATCTTTATAAAAAATAAGTCTTTAAAATTAACTTTTCTGATAGTAATTTAACTGAAAGATTTTGACAGGAGTAAACCGATTATTGAGGTGGTACTCATAATTGCAAAATGATCATTCTGTAAATGACTTTTTATTTCCCTAATCTGTTTAGAATGGTTAATTGGCTTCGTTTTTACCCTATAATATACCAACATATGTGTATAAACTTTAATTGGAATACACCTCTACTCTTGTTATTTAATGAAATTAGAGATTATTCCCACTGCATGTAATTGTTATAGTGAAACAATGCTTAACAACGCACTCATCGGGACAATACGTCTGAGTGCCAATTATTTTGCAGATTTTCACAGACTGTTTATTCTTTATAGAATTTAAAATACTTGTTTGACATTTAATCAAAAAGGTAAAAATCATTTAGAAACTGCAAACGTTCTGTCTAGGATAAAGAAAAAAACATTATTAGACATTATACAACGTTCTGTACTGAATTAATCTAATTGTACTATAACATTACCTGGTAAACTGGTGCCAAGTGCTACAAACGTTATTGCAGTAACAGCATCAGTCAATCCTATCGAACAACCGAATGACGAAGCTACATCTCCTATAACTGCGGTCAAAACACCAATAACCAGTATACATACAGTGAAACAAAACCAACCTCCGCCATAGTCTAATAATAAAATTAGCAAAGAAACAAATTATTGTTATTGTATAACTGCACAACACTTAATGTGTATAGAAAACGTATTTTATATATATAATCATTCACATTAGAGCCATATGGCCTAATAGAAATAAAATAGTTCCTGCAGCAACGTTTTGGAGCTTTGATGACTATTTTTTAGTAAAACCAATAATTGTCATCAAACAACTCTTGTTCACAGGATAGACGAGACAAAAACTATCATGAATTGTCTGACATTTCTTGAATAAACATCATAATATGCTTACAGAATGTAGTATTTAGTAAATATTTCATAGCATGAATGCTTTAAGGATCGTTAGTGATGACTGTCTATAAATGAGAACAAATATATCTTTGTCGTTATACAATAATTCCAAAAAAGTCATAAGATATAAACTAGCACTTCAGATAAAGTTGAATAATTTGAAGAATGAAACAAAGGACACAAGACCGTTTAAAAATGATGATAAAATAAGATATTAGCATTTTAAAAACTCTCAACGTTAATATGTACAAATTTTACTCGCAGTATTAAATTAGTTTGTATTGATAATTATATTGAGATAAGCTAATTACGTTGGATGCTCAAACGAATTTAGATAGTTTGAAAAAAGCTTTCAAATTCCGGAAATTATGTAACGGAGATCTATAAAATTCCTTAATTTACTTAACAAACATTTGATATTCATGAATTTCATTGAATACATCATCAACTGTTTTTTACGTGTCATTGAAGTGAATTTGCCAACCCATCAACCTTATCCGTTGAATAAAGTATGACTATCTCTATTTATTAATAAAAGATTCATGAAAAGAATACAATACCATTATGAAATACATATAATTGTTAGCTAAATCTTTATAAAATGATTTCATTAAGTCATAATTTTATGTTCGACCAATTAAAAGAAGTTCAACTCATTTTCCCTATGATTTACTTTCATTGTGTCAATTATTGTTTATATTATTTTTTTATTCTATATTCTATATAGTACTCGATAATGCTGGTATACATTAGTGTATTGGTAATGTTAATTTTATAAAAAAAGACACACAAATATATATGTAAATCAATTAAATGACGCCAAAATGTCATTTAATTATAAAAAAACAATTGAATAAATAAATGAATTAATTAATTTAACTAGAATATTGGATAGCCCGCATAAATTTCTAACAAACAAATACGTGCCAAATCATATATAGTTCCTTTTGAAAAATTAGTGATTAAATAATTGTATTTGCATTGTCATTCAAGTACAATAAGATATCATAACAAAAATTAAAGCTTTTTTATTTATTAAATTCACTTGATATTATTTACTTGAATCTTTCCACTGATGTTTAGGACTGCAATTGATCAGTCTCTTATTGAAATATGTGCATATTGTGCGTATTGCCACGATATAGCCTTAATTCATAAGCAATATAAACAAAGATGGATAATCCGATGATGTTTGAAGTCAATGGTACTAGGTTCAAGTCATAGAGTGAACATCAACTATAAGATGCAAGTACATGTAGCTGACGAATCCTAAATGGGACGAAATGCGGGTCCTAGGTTTCACTGCTAGGCACTATCCATCTTTGCATATACTGACTGTATCAGGGGGGTTTTTTGGAGATTGTAGTAATTTCAATGTTGAGATCATGAGTCAATTGAATCTAGACCATCATGGAAAACCTGAAAGCACTGGACGGCCGTTTCGTCGTATTGTGGGACTTCTCAGCAGTGCGCACCCATGACCCCTCAACTGTTGAAGTTACTAAAATCTCCACAAAACCCCCTTCTGATATTAATCAACATACGCTTACTAGTGACTAGCTTCAAGAGGTATATCTCGGAGTTCTAGTAAGAAGTAGTGACCAGTGGATTTCAACCGGGTCAGTTGTGAGATAGTAACTCACTGATGACAATGTTGGATCTGCCACTCAATTTTGTGGATTAGTTGAAGTAGACATTGAAATCGTTGAATGCCGACTCAGTGGTCTAGTTGGTTAAGCGCCTGGCCGTCCAGTGCTTTCAGGTTTACCATGGTGGTCTAACTTCAATTGGCTCACGATCTCAACGGTTTATATATTGACTGTCATTAAGATTTACTTTAAAGATTTTTCAGGTTAATATTTTATTGACAATTGAACATTCCTCATTTTAATGATAAGAAATTTAAGCTATTTTATATTGATATCTGTGTATCACATGTTAAATGATCGGTTTTTAATTACGGTAATTAAAATACATCAAATATCATCAACATAAGAAATATATTACTATAGATTTTGATCAAAAGTCTCTTCTTTATTCCGAAATATCTACCAAGTATTTATAAGCTGTTTAGTTACCTTTTAATACTCTTCTATTTGTCTTATATAATCAACTATTCATCTGATATTATTTTTGTGACCTTAAGTATAGTGATCAATTGAGTTTAAACTAGTATTCATTATTAAAGAAATGGATTTTATTAAAGATTAATCGATAGTGTTCTCAAATGAAATGTAATCATATTAATGACAATGAATAATGTAAGTGATCTTATCTGACTATCAAATTTGTGTCAGCTAATTGTGCTTAAAATTAATTATATTTTGTTTAAGTAATAAAGAAATGATAATAGAATAGTTGATTGAAATTTAATTGTAATATGTACTATGAAGTGAGGTTTAATAATAATGACAGAATGTTATTTGATGAAAATAACTAGAAATACGAATGATATTACCAAGGTGTATTTGTTTTTCTTTAAATGTCTCTTATTAAATTTCATTATTTAACATTTTAGAATAACAGTTAAAAAGAATGATTCATGTAGTCAAACTATTTCGTAAAGAATGAATTGATAATAGATCTCGTCAACTGAATCAAAAACGAACACTAGAACTTTAAAGTTTATATTTCATAATGATTTGAGAGATTTAATATTCCCTCTATGATTATCATTTGAATATTTATTGTTCTAAAACTTAGATACATTTATGTCCATAATTGATTCACCATTTAATACCAGATTTCAGAAGAGATTATCTAGACACATAAAATAAACGCTTATTACATTCAAGCTTTTTTTTATGATTCTTTAAAAGATATCGACAAGTGTAAATTATTTTCATCATAAACATGTTGGATATTCGATGAATGGTAAGGGATAATCTTAAACCTAACTCTCATATATTTATTTTGAATTCAATTCATTCAGCTGTAAAGGACTATAGTTGAAAGTTGATTATCGAAGCAATATTAACATTGACTAGAATATATATATATATATATATATATAATTCATTAAGATGGGAATGTTATAAAATGTATCTGAACCAAGAATTCATTTCTATTTATGATCGTAAATATTTGACAACGATAAAAATTAATTCATTTGTTGTGTACAGATTTTGAAAAATAAAAAGATTTTCTGATTAGATAAATGGTGATTACATAGTTTTTATATTAATAATCTAAAATGTTACACAATTATGTTTAAGTAATTTATTGTATTTGCCTACGTTTTGATACAGTAGTTATGTAAGAAAATATTCAAGTTTATATAAACCAATGAAATGTTCGACTAGTTTTATATATTCTCAATATAAATTAATTAAACAAAAAAGAATAAAAACATAATTTTATCCACAAACTGGGTTTTATAGTTAAAAGAGACAAAAGGCTAATAATTTTAGTCTACATAAACAATCCTTTCATAATCTAATTAATGTACAATTGAACTCATGTTGATTACATAATAGAATTAAATACTACAAATCGTCAGTTAAATATAGGTGATGTATAAATTTAACTTTATTTCAGAAAATCTCTTAAATACGTAGTTAAATTATAAAGTTTGTGTTTCACAAATAACTGGGTTGGTATTGAGTTTGATTAATTAACCTGTGAACTGATTGAAAACATACATATTTTAAGACTAGTATGTAAACCCGGTTCATAAGTTATGAAACAACTGGTTGAATATAAAAACTACTTTGTTTATATGTAAAGGTATTTTAGAAATAACGAAATAAATATATTTCATATTAGAGGAATCAAGTCACTGGATTGATTTTTGTATATCTTCAACCGTTTAATTATCTACAAAAACCGTCAACTAATAGTTCATTTATAAGTTAATTTCCTGTAGAGTTATTCAAAGGTTTAACTGAACAAGAAAAAATGTGAGTGAAATTTTTCACAAATGTTTCTGGTTTATTATTTTATTCACTGAAAACGGTAAGTGTAAATAAAATACCCAGATTGTTTTACATTCTATGTAAAAAGATCAAATGCCTCAACATAGTATTAAACAAACATTGAGTGAGTTAAAAGTACTCCACAAAGCGAAAAAATAATTAAGCAAGACGGTATGAATCTGTTACATGTTTGGTCTGATATTATCCTGATTTCAGCTTGTTAATCTATTAATTGAATAAATAAACACCATGTTCAACTTGTAAACTGTTTTCATTACGTTTACGCGTTTTATATAAATAAATTTATTACACACTAAGGCTTTATTAATTTTTAAGAACCTGAATTAAAGATGTGTTTGCAGTGGTAAGATTTCAGTTACAATGTTTTTCATAAGAAAAGTTGGATTTGGTTTCACCTTAGATTATACTCAGAGGTAGATTATTAAGTGCAAATCCCAGTATTTCTTCTTTTCTCGCTTCCTAGCACATACCAGTAATTTTTCATTTATTTTGCATTATTAAATGTTGAACAATAAATTATTCCATATATTTGTAATAAGGAAAGACCATTAATTAAGAGTTGGATAATCTACGCATGGATTTTTTTTGTAATTTAACAATCAAAGATACCGTGTGCTAGTGCTATATAAAACATTCAATAAGAGACTAATTACGTGCTTCCATTAATAATTAATATACTCATTAAGGGTAATTATAAATTATAATGTGATTCCGTTTTGACTAAGTGAATAATTCCACTGCAAAGTGTAATAACATGCATTAATATTTCATTTTTCTGACTGTAATTACAAAATGTAATATATAGTATCTACCTGTTGGTGGAACAAATGCAAAGAGGACTTTCCAGAAAACGGTCAAAAAATGCATCACATAATCCATGCATGTTGGTAGTTTTTCTCCTTCATCGTCGTCAACATCGCCTCCTTTTTATTCAAAAATTTGATATTTAAAACAAAAACAAAAGAGAAATACAAAATATCATAGTTATATAGAAGAATAAAAATGTCAAGACTCATAAACAATAATGTACAATGTTTGATTTCTTGCATTTACTGTAAAACTTCGATACGATTAATGTGCTTATACATAAGAAAAAAGCTCATCGGCAAATTATTTATTAAAAGTGGCATTCAGTAACCTCAAGAAGACATTTGTAACTAACCGCAAATCAATCTTATATAATTAGTGACAGAGACTTTTTTATCTATCTGAATTAAGGTTGGACAAACTATGAAAACTATGGTGTTTTATCTTTTGACAAACCAAATGTTTCGAATTCAAATTAGTGTACAATAAGAGATATATTAATAGAAATAGAAGAAATAGAATAAGAAAAAAAACGATGAAGCAAAGATTTGTTTACAAATATTCATTCTCTGTATTCTACTGTTTTCCTGGAAAAAACATTATCGTTGCTTATATAGTTCAAGCAATTAAACGGATCAAGTTAATAACGAAAGAGTGGATGGAATCTTCAAATTAAACTGATTGGATAAATTTTAAAAAATGACAGTCAAATCAATAGGCAATTGGAACATTGAAAAAGTTATAAAACTTAGCGTTTCATAAATGCAAGCTGAAGTTATTTCTGTTTTTATCTTTATTATTGGCGTATATGTTTTCGAAAGTAGAGGTAAATAAATCTGTTACGTTTTGCTTATAATTTATGAGTTACAAATGTTGTGTGCAGTCTAAAAATTTAGCTGGAATCTAACTGTTTATAAATAAACGTTTTTTACTAGTAAACTTAGATACGTCTGTGTTAAGCCTACATAAGTTGCTATTATCGCAAACGCTTCATATGAGAAACATTATTATATTATGTGGTAGAGCTTCGACATGAAACAATTCAAATTTCAAAAAGCTGATCCACGGAAGTTTATGAACGCAGTGGATCGGTTTTTCAGAACTGACCACAATAAGATATAAGCTTACAACTACTATTCTCAGTTGTTCTATACAGGAAATGCGGTACGACAGTTTAACTAAATTCATTTTACTTCTGTAATTGAACTGTCAATATTATTACCGATATAGCTGTAGAACAATCCAACAATGTAGTTAAATGCGGCTAAATACAATTTCATTATGCTTTGTTATGTATACTCCACAAAAGAGCTTTTATATGTCAGTAAGAAGTGATATGCTTTCAAAGTTACCTAAAATTGTCTTGTGAGACTGAATGAAGCTTAAGTACAACTTGTTTGAATAACTCTTGATTAGTGAATCTATTGAGTCATTTTGATCTCACCTGGTCGATGGTTGTTCTGAGGGAGAAAAATGACAAGAATGATTATATGTAATGATTGGTGTCTACATGATATATTTCTACATTCGCTGAGATTACTGAATTTCTTCTGATTGTATTCAAATCGAGTAAAAATATCGTCAAAAACTTTGAAGCTTAAGTTGATTTCAAGCATAACCTAGTTTTAAAGTTACTTATTATTGTACTAAAAGTTGTTTATTAGAAAAATATTAACGTATATTATAGTAAAACTAAGGATAAGTGAAATTAAAGAAATCGAGTTGTGTAAAGGATTATGTTAACTATAACATTTCTACTTATGAAATACAACGAAACATAGCTTTTTAGTATTGTTCATTCCAACAAGCTTTTAATTTATAGTCAGTGACGTTTGGCACTGAACAAATTTATTATCATAAAGGATCACAGAGAAAACAGCTTGCTAGTGGATGTAATCTGACACTATTCAAAATCTGGGTTAGGAACCTAAACTAATAATTTTCGAACTCTTATAATTTATGATTAGGCAGAAACAGTATTTGGCGTGGTTTTGTGACATCCTTTCATTACGCCTCCTTTTTTGGTCGAACTATAAAATTTTTGAACATTCATTTTAAGACATATGATTCATGAAATTCAATAGTTATTTATCAGTTGCCGATTCGATAGTTGTTATCATTTTTTTATTAAAGGTATTTCCAAAATAGATATTCAAAATGAAAATATTTGAAAAGCAAACGGAATATAAAATAACGTACCAGCACTGACAGTTATCGCCTCAACGAACTGTTCTTTCCAAGATGATGTACCAACCACTAAGGCCAGTGTCCCTTGTTTCACTAACCTGTCAACGGTTTTCTGAAGAAGATAGAAAAACCGATTCATGACTATAGCTTGTATGAAAACAGTAATACCCTTTTAATTAATGTTACTAAAAATTATTGGGGATATGTGGAAACGTATGTGGAGTTAACCGAGTTGATATTCTTTTATGCAAAGTTCATCTGAATAGCACTCATAATACTACTGATTTCGTATTTTAGGTTGAAAAACATTTCTTGTCAGATAAGCTAACCAGTATCTTATTTTGCAAATAACTCAAATACCAAGTCATATGTTGCTTTATGAATGTCTAAAATGTTAAACACAAAGATGTTTAATAATAACGAAAGATGTATATCTGTCAAATGTATCTCAGAATAATTTTCAAAACTAAAGTAATATCTATTCGGTTAACTATTTAAGTAAAATATTTAGTATTCCTAAAAAAGCGCGATTGAGATATAACTCAGTTTTGTAAAGGTGAGTAATAAATTCAGTATCATGATTAACGCAGTTCATTTCCTGATTACAGATTTATGTATGCACATTGAAGATAAAATGTCAACATAAGGACAATTGATATTATCAAGATGTTTACTGAAAGTAGGTTAAGCATAGTTTGAGCATTCTACATAATTATCAAAATCTGTGTTCATAAACAACAGTCTGATAGCTTATTGATATTTAGTCGAAAACACTAAAATACATAATGGTTGTATAATTTCAAGCTTAGTCAATTATTTTTTTCTGTTATCTTTAACTTATTATTAGCAGTTGTTAATTTTATTGAATGATATCATTATGTATTTTTAAAGGATAGAAATAAAGTACATGGGATTAATACTAGGCAGTAGTAAATATCTGTAAAAGGAATATACTTCATTACTGCTTTATTCAATTATCAGTTTCATCTGATGTTTCTGATTTCAATTTAAAAAAAGAAATAAATTTATAAGTTGTACAATAAAAAGTACTTTATAGAAAACATAACAAGCTTAAATTATTGTAGCTGTCTATTTTTCTAAATGAAATCTAAGATGATGATAATCATACTACTGAATAAACATAATTTATGAATTTAAGTATGGAAAAAAAATACTGTCAACTTTAAGTATAGAATAAATAAGAAGAAAATCATGCAATCAGACCTTTTTATGAATTGATACAAGAAATTTATTCATTTTGTTTGTTTCATTGGTAAATTAATTTGTTTTTAAAAAGAGAAGTAATGTGAACTTCATATCGACGACTATTAGTTATTTTTATTCATATGATAAGTCATCATTTTATTGGTAGGCAACTATGATGTTTCAGGCGTTGTTGCCTTAAACAGATGAACTAAAAACTTAAAATTTACTTACAACACTAACTAAGTGAACGTCGATATGGTCGTTAACACTTGTTTTTTTTTCGTGCTCGAAGTTTCTTAAAAGTACACATCTAAGTGTTTCAGAATAGATCAAGACAGCTATTTTAAGTTTTCCCATTTTCGGTTAAACTAACATATTACTAAGATGAAATTCATCATAAGATTATTAAATATTAACAGTGTGGTAGGTTTCTCAAAGTGCTGGTGTAATATTTTAACCAGTGAAATTAACATAACTGTAAATAAACCAGTAGGTCAATAGTAACGTTGACTGAGACTAACTTTATATGACACCGTCATTAAGACCGAAATAATTGGATATTTAGCTCTGGCTTCGGAGTTAGCTAGATGTTGGTGAAATATGAACTATGCCCTTAATTATAAACTACTTTTGCTGATTTATTCATATGTTCCAAACACTGACAATGATATATTGTAGGACCCAATGTTAATTATTAACAAAAAAAAATTAAATTCAAACATTTTGAAATATAAAATGTTATCTATCGATGTCATTATATTGCTAGTCATTTAAAATAATGATATAACAGCTAAGTGAGTTTATGACCATGTTGATTGTGTAAATAATACCACCTGCAAAAAAAGTGACTCCGTGATCAAGAAATAAAAAAGAAACGGAATAAATTTACAAACAACATTTTCATTAATTATAGTACAGTGTTCTCATCATTTTTTTGAAACAGACAAAAAAATAAAACCCAGCAAATTCTTAGGCAGTATCCTCCTCCGTCAGAAATAAATATTAAAAAGAGCAAGAAACAAAGCAAACAAACTAATGTTTTCTTTGGTTTCCCTTTTTTTTCTCTCTTTTATTTACTTATCTATTTGATATAATGTTGGTACTAAGACGAATAAAAATGAAATAAATAATTTGAGGTAAATTGTGAGTGGACGAAACAAATCTTGTACTAATTATCTACCGATTTTACTCATATATCAATTTTGTAAATAAGACAAACAAACTAATAACACGAAATATTTAGTTTAAGCTTGATATGAACAAGTAACTGGAAGATATTTAGGATCGCGTTCATATAGTACATAATATGAAGATATTCTCAGAACAAATTTAGGTCATAGTTGTACTAGTACGATCTTATAATCGATATTTTTCACACACAGTATTAGTTCATAATATTTGTACAACTACTAAATAAATAATAAACGATAAGCACATCAGTCTTAATGTAGATGACAACTTTTCAACAAAAAAAAGAACAAAATTCGTAAATAACAAGAATCAGGCAAAATAGAAGAATTTGTTTATTTAACCTACATCTTTTCGTTTTTTTTTAGTTAAGATGTCTATTATTTATTTTATTATATTAACCCTAAATATTAAACACTATGGAATGGATAATAAATGTTAACATTACTTAACTTATTGTTCATAATGATACATCGAAATGGAACATTTTTATTATGCATAGCAAATGATTATGAAAATCAGTTATTTTTGTAATATACAATATAAAATCTTCTTGTAAATTCATGGAATTGTCAATATTGAAAAGAAGTTAATATGAATTCTGTGCTTATGATGACATAATTCGATGTTGATTTACGTACACTGATATTTTTATTTCGCAATGAATTTATCTAGCATTATATTGGAACGATTCTCCATTTCATAATGGTGTCATATTTAAACTAGAATATGAGTTTGACTAATCAAAGCATTAAACTCTTAGAAAACTTTATACTACTCTATATGGTAACATTTTAAATTCGATAATGAATCACAGAATATAATCCGGAAGATCCTATTTCATGGTTAAATAAATACCGATGGATGATATGCATTTAATTATAAGTAGTCATATTTGATAACTTATATTATATTATATTACTAAATAAACATCATCTTTTCATAAAATATATGAAAATATTTTGTTGTATTTACACAAAACATAATACAGTATAGTGTACATATTTTTAACTGTCAATGAATAAACTAAAATGACTTTTCTTACAAAGTAAATTCTGTAGGTTAAGAATGCAATACATCATAGAAATAATAGAATAATACTGATACATGATTGACATATGTTTATCATAGTATACTATTTGATTTGATTGACATTAAAAGTACAATATTAACGTTGATTAAAAAAACAAACAAACACTTTTGTTTTGTCTTTTGTTCAACTTCTTATTGAATAACAGCGATATGACTTTCTCAGAAAAATAAGTATTATAGTAACTAAAAAAATTCATTATAGATTACTTTAAAAAAAGTTTATTACATCATAGGATTGTGAAGATTGTTAAGTATTTTGATTAAGATTATGAAACGTTGGATGTTAGACCATCATTGAAAACCTGGAAACACTTAACAATCATCCAGTGCTATATAAAATATTTTCAACAGATTACATAATTGTAGTTGATATGAACTAATACATGAACAAATATGATCGGGAAATCAGATGTATAATGCAAAAGGGGAATGATTTTTTATTATACGTCTATACGTTTTATTTTATTCTGAGTGCTTAATGTAAGTAAGTCAATGTACAATCATGCAGTTACAGCGTACTGAAACTTGATACAGAAAGTATTTGAAATTGATGGAAATAATTTGTTTTATTTTTGAAACTAAGTTGTCTAAATAAAAAAGTGAAATGTTTGCTAAAGTTAATATGGTAAATTTACAGAATATTAATCACTAAATTTATTTATTATGTTGTTATCCCATCAGGAACGGGATATGACTGTTGTTCCACAATTTAATCTGAATAAAAGAATTTATACTTGCGAAAGAATTCTGTAATATATTCTAATAAATAAATATAGTGTTCAGTTTCAAGAATATAGGAGTAATTATTGAAAACTTCATTTTTGTTACACCTAGTTGATTGGTTTGCTTAGAATTATTATTAAAATACTACTTTCCTAAGTTGTTACAAGTTGAAAATTCAAATCATTTCATCAATCCATATTCATTACCGGATGACTTGTACACCACAAGAATGAACATTTTACTATTGCGTGGGAACTTATTACGCCTATGTCAAGCACTGTTTATCGCTGTAATTCAGAGTGTACAATTAAATAAATTACAAGTATAATTAAATTGCCATTCAGGATCTCAATACTGACAACTACTTCAAACAACCAGTAACCGACCACATGCTACGAAAAAGATTATTCGCAGATAACGCTTGATCAGTTTGGCTTTAGAAGTGTAAGTTACAAAAAGAAAGTAGCATCTGTCTTTCAGACAGCATAAATCTTAACTTGGTATTTAAGTAGATAACGATGGGAAGTTAGAATTGTTGATTTAGCAATGATGGTATGAAGAAAATTAAATTATACAACATCTATTTGTTTTATATTAAAAAAAAGTCTCCTTAAACTCCCTATTGGTTTCTAAAGAACCCATTTATTGTTCTTAACATCATTTGCTCTATACGTAATTGAATTAGTTGCATAATGACGGAGCGAAAAGATCTTTGATTAATTGTGAAATATAGTTCCAAAAGTATAAATAATAATACTTTTTCATCAGTAACTAGTACAAACGTTTGTAATTAATACTACCGTTTTATGTTTGAATAATAGTTGTCTGACAAAAAAATTGTATACTGACTGAAAAAGTTTATTACTTATTCAAAAATCTGAAAGGAAAGATTTTAAACACTTTTGTTCTGTAATTTAACAATTTTCTTTAAAAAGTTTGTGTATATGTAGTAAAATGAATAATGATATGCGAATATATTTAAGCGATAGTTGTGAAACATTTAAGATAGAGGTTTGAGTTTTTCTTTTAGAAATAATTTAATCTAAATTATTTTACATTCAAATATCAGACTAGTGGAATACTGGTGTTAATAAGGTCATATTGACTCGGACAAAAATTTATTTACCCTCTCACTACATATTCTGTTAACTAACTAGCTAACTATACACTACTGAAGAGTCCTGCAATAGGGCGAAACGGCCGTTCAGTGCTTCCAGGTTTTCCACGATAGTCTAGCTTCAATTGACTCATGATCTCAACCTTTAAAAAATAACCAACTACTAATAAATATATGTGATTTCATTCCTTTGAAATAGTACGGAACGTTAAGTAATTGTTTTAAGTAGTCATTTATTACTGTCATGAGAAAAGAAACTGTAGACCAATTACATTACATTGTCAAAAATAATTACATATATCAGATAATTTTTTATATTATACTCAATATATTTAACTAGTTAATGAAAGAGTTGACTAACTAATATAGATTAGGAAAAGTTGTCTAATCTAATCAAAGGATTTTTACAGTTATTTATTCTTGCTTTCAACACTCAGCATCCAGTTTTCATTCATGAAATATTCAGTTGTAATTGAAGTTAAATTATTTTTGAAATAACTTGACAACGGGAAATATTGTCAATAAATATCAGCTTTTTACTAAAAGTCAAGGCATAAAGTTTGATTTTAATTTCGTAAATGATATTTCTCTGAAAATGGTGATCTAGTAAGTTAATACCAAGTGTCCGAAATGTTGATTATCTCGTAATATTTCATTGAGAAAATAGGAAAAACTTGATTGGTGCAAGATTTACATCTTCTACTTGAAAAATATACCATCGGCTATAAGTTATTTATTTCTAGTTGAAGTTAAAACTTTAGTAAGTTAAAAATGCACTTGACTAAAGTATATCAAATAATGGTTTATGAAGTTTTTCTTTTCAAGTTACCGAAGAATCATGAAACCGACATGATATTACGTTAACTTTCTAAGCATCATGGCATTGCTGAACTTGACAAGTGTTAGTGTATACTATTCATTATGAAAAACAACATTTCCAGTTACAATGAAATATTTATCAGATTAAGCTTAGTACCATACCGGTTAGGAGTGGAAATACGGACACTTGATAATATTCACACGAAGACGTGAATGTAGTATCCTTCGACTCAAATGTTAAACATATTATTTTCATAGCCCAGGTAGTCAAGGGCTTGTGACATTGGGTAAATTTTAATTCGATTATAAAGGTTATTCTAATCTTGTTGTTAGTGTTAAGGAATGATTGGTTTCCTTTAGCATATGTGATATTGCCCTCCTTGTCTCGATGTTATCGTTAATCCACAAATATTATAAATAGAGTTGAAGCAGGGGTTAATGTGTTCGAGTCCAGGTATGAATATTAAAACTGAGGTACAGGTTTATCCACCTGGCGAGTCCTGAATACACCGAAGTATGAAATGTGTATTTTCACGCTGGCCAATGTTGCAATCTACTCCAAATGCTCGTAGCTTGGTCGTGATTTACAGTCAATCCACAAAGGATGCACATATGCTAAAAGAGAATGATCAATCCCAGTACTCAACATTGAGGAGTTGAAGATTCAAACAACTCTTACAAATGAGCAAGATATGTTATTCTATGAAAACGTTTAATTAATAAGTGAAACAGAAGTAGCTTACTTCTTGCTAAAAATTAATTGCAATGAGTTTAAGCAAAAAACGTAGGCAAATAAATGAATTTTTATTGGATCATTAACATTTACCTTCAACTTTCTAAAAGCGAACTTATAATAAAAAGGTGAAAGATATAAGGGTTTTATTGATTGTCCCGTAAAATCGAACTGCAATTACAGTAATCACAAAAATATTGATATTGAAAAAGATGTTTAACTAACCTTGAATTCTGTACTCTCTGTAATTGTAATCTTAATTCTTGTTGGTTGACCTAATCGCGGTTGGCCAGTTTCTACGAAACCAAGTGATTTACATGGATTGAAATTTACATCTTTAGCACTAGGCGTTTGTGAATTACGCTTTTTCGTTGAACTAGTACGACTTACTAAACTATCTGACCGTTGAGTAATGCGTGCAAATAAATGACTTGGAACTGGAATAAGGGGAAAAGAAAAATTTCAGAATATTATTGATGCTAATTTGAAAAACGACAAATTAATGTTTTTTGATAAAATCCTTAATATGTAGGGGTTTGATTGTTATCTAAAGTTTAGTAGATGCTTGAAATACTCTCGTAATAGGATAATGTAAGTAGTACCTAGAGGAAACAAAATGAATAGGAAATATCTTGGTATTTTTGTTTTTTATACAAAAACAGAAACAGATTTATTATGATTTTTTAAATTAAGTTCTGTCAAACTACTAACATAAATGAACTTGTATGTTAAGTTACATATATGCATGTCAATACATGAAAAATAAGCATTCTTTAACAAGAAAAGAATATGGACATAAATGTGTGATTCAGAAAACTGTGTATTACTAAATAACGAAGTGCTTTACTGCAATATAGAGTAATATGTTTACGGTTGACAGATCCAAAAGATTCTTTAATACGGAAAGACTTTTTCAGTAGAAAAATTAGAAAAGTTTCACTGACTACAATAGAGTAACAGGTTTGCTTAAAGATTGTTCCGAACAACAAGTAAAATAAACAAATATTGTTCATAAGCTAGAATGTTACATAATCAGTGCCTTTAGCGAATTATTAAAAGTAGAATGTTGATATAGTCTAAAAGGACAAGGTTATTTCATGATTCGAGTTGCTGTATCTTAAAGAACATAAAACTCAGACTACTGGCAAGTGGTTTCACTAAACCGACATTGAAAATTGGCAAAATAACTTATGATTTATGGACAAATCGCAATCACTGGTAGACACATCAATTATATCTGTAATACGCATCAATATTATCACACATCGATAATGAAGCTGTTAAATGTGTGCAGATAATATGCATTACCATAGTTAAAATGAAGGCTTAGAATGAAATAAAAATGTGACGATTTTTTGTTACATAAAATAAACATCAGAGAGAGGAATAAGAAACATTACTGGCAAGCGTTAATACAGTGCTAATAAAAAGAACAAGTTGTAAATAGTTTATAACAGCACAATGACAAACGGTGTACATCAGAGATCGTATTATAGCACACCAAATAAATAGTATATATATATATATATATATATATATATATATATATATATATATATATTATTCATAAGAATATCTTCATGCTTCTGTTCACTCAAGCTGAAGTAGAGTTAGTATAATATTTTTAGTCATTTACTGTAGGATAAAGTTTAATTTTTCCCATTGTGATTCTTGAATACGTAGACTCCATCAGTTATTTACTTAGTTACTATATTATCTGATATGGTCCATTGAGTAGTGAAGAATCTCATCAGACTTATTTCATAAATCTCTGGTAGAAATAGGTTAAAAATTAAGACCTGTGCAAATATAAACAGATTACTACTTAATAATTCATTAGGATTTAGAATTTCTGAGACCTATATCCGACGGCGGTGTACGCTCCCCCACGAGAGGCAACGGGTTCAAGTAAGTAAACTATATTCACTTAAGGATAAAAAGATAACAAAATACGTTTTATGACAACTTCATGGCATTTTATTGATGCTTAATGTAGTTACTTCTTTTTGCATTGAATCAATAAGTAAACTTTGTGGTTATCTTAAGTGTTAAGATATCTGGAAATGTACTACGTAAGCGATTACAATTTACTTAAATTATCGAGGCAACTCCATGCAATTTATATGGTACATAGAGAACACATATTTGAGTCACTTTATCCATCCTATGTTTAACTGGTAATAGATTACCAACAGATAATTGTGATGTGTTTCATTTTTGTAACGTGTAGATAAAAAAAGATTATATCAGGATAAAATTCTAGAAAAAAAAACATGGCAATTAAAATAACAATGAACCAACATATTTTCATACAACTTGAAGCTTTAACTAACTATATCAGTCAGCTAAACTAGTTCAAACAAAAATTGTAAAATGTAACGTTGTGTTTTAAACGAACAATTTTCTAGAAAATGTAACAAACCCAATGATATATGCTTTAGAAATTCGATGTATACGTAGAATAAATCTATAGTTATATGTTAAGATATTTGTCAAACAAATAAAATGTTCTTTATAAATATTCAGTTTTTCACATGTAATGATAAGTGAAGAGAAGAAAACACTTTGAATTATAACCTAATTATCAATGAAAATAAAGCAATTACATGCACCAATTAATATTGTAATATTTTAAAAATATCATAGAAGATGGGATTCAAATCTAATACATATATATATATGATCATTTATAAGTATAACAGTAAAGGAAATAAATACAAATATGACTTCCTTTTTCACTAAAATGTATCTATATGTGCGTGTACAATTTACAAAAATAATGTTGATAGTGCAAAAAGAAAATACTATAACAGATGAAGATTACGATTGAGTAAGTAAAACTAATTTTCAATAGTTAATTTACAACACATGCGATAACACAACAAAACACGGGTGATGACAACAGAAACACACATTAAGAATAAATGATTCTTCTGAGTAAAGTTAAACATGCAAATTAATAAATATTATCGACAAAAAAATATAGTTATAACTGCAAAGATTAACTCAGTGTGTGTGCGTGTATATATAACTGCAAAAGTTTGTGCATATCTAGGAAAATCAAATATAATTTAACAAATAAAAGAAGAAAGTGATCGCTAACATACAAATAGGTGTTTGTACAATATTAGGTGTATTGTTATTTAATAAGGAAAAAAAATCTAAATCGATGACTAGTTAAAAAACAAGTGCTTTATTCAATCTGTGCATAGTTATTGTGTAATTATAACTTCAAAAAGAAAATGTACAGTAAGAAAATACACAACTACTAGTGAAAAAGTATGAATATTTCAAATCTAAGCTTACTTGTTTCCCATTCATTTATAGCTACGTGTTGAAGTTTTGAAGAGAAAATATCAATATTATGTTAGATGAAACAAAAATAAGATATAACGTTGTTGATGTTACAAAACTGTGATGATTTCAGCTTGAAATGTGTATTACACATTACACACAATCAAATAGTTAGTTCATTTCGATTCAACAATGAAGTTAAGAATTCATCTAAGCTTATTATATTTTACTCATTAGAAATATTTAACAATAAAAGAAGAGCTAATATTTAAAACTAAATAGTTTCGTTAAATTCAAAAATGTTTATCTTAAATTTACTTAAGAAAATACGAATATGAAAGTTAAGCGAAAATTGGTTATGTAATTTCACACTAATTTTGTTTGTTATACACTTTGAGAATCACAATGAACCAATACAATAAAACAGTCTCAAAAGATTTGGTATTAATTAAAATATACGTGCAAAAATTTTAAAAAATATACCATTTGCTTTAGTGGGAACATTTTAATAAATACTTAATTATAAGCAAAAATGGATAGTCGCTTGCGGTGGAGTCTCAGAGTCAATACTGGATTCCACTGCTAGCCATTCTTAATCTTTGCTTATAAAAGCTTGTGAATTAAGGCTATATCGAGGCAATGCGAACAGTATGCAAATATGCAAATAACAAACTGATCAAGTGCAGTCTTAAATCTCAATGGGAAGATTCAAGCAAAACGATACCAAGTGAAATACTTAGTTACTTCTAAAAATAAATATAATTAACTTTAAAGGTGATGTAAAATTGAGATAATATTTTATTTTAAATGATCTAAGCTGAAATAAGTAAATAGATAGGTTTATCAGAATTTAACCAAAATATCGATAATTTGTATCACTAACTAATAATAAGTATATAGTCTTAGCACAGTTGCATAGTATAATGTGTGGGTATTCAAAGCTATTAAATGAATCTTTAGAAACAGTTATAGAGCACGAGAACTAATGATATTGAAAGTCATTTAAAAACTTCAATCAGGTCAAAGCATCATATGATTATCAATTGGTGTTATAAATAAAAATTGATTTACTATCTGATGCATGTGATGCATATATTTTAGCATATATTTCTCGGTATTTTAGAAGCTCCGATGGAGTTTAAATAAATTGTCACTAAATATATCAACAGCGCATACATTTCATACTCTCAAGGATGAAACATAGAATAAGCTTCTTTCCCTGCCTAATGAGACCGAGCTATAAAAATTCGCATGATACAAGTTAGCTTTCTACATACTAGTCTTTTGGTAGAGCAGTTATTTTAGATAGTGTTTCTACACACAGTAATTGAGGTTGTTGTTTTTAATGCAATCACACAAGTAGTATATTGTTTCGTTGGGAATAATATTTGCCAGGAGTAAAATAACACTCAACGATAATATTCCTTTCCTATTTACATTTGTCTCCATACGTGAATCAAACCGAAAAGTATTGGGAGCTGTATCTACTGTTGTGATTTATTGTAAATTTTCAACTGAACTTTATGGTGAAGTATTCACATCCAGTGTGATCGCAGAATAAAGTCCCACTTATATGAATTTGAAAAGTCACATAATTATGAGTCACTGAAACAGCACAGTTTTATATATCTAAAGAGGTTGCAAATAAAGGCCAACTCATGCGTTTAGTTAAAACATCTCATTTCGAAAAAGTAAAAGAGGTTTCCAGAAGTACATAAATAACTCTGACTAGGCTAATTAAACAGCATTTTCAAAGAGATGAAATGATCATTTTAGTTTTATAAGAACAACATTTGTTAAAAGAATAATATTTAAAGAAGACTAAGAGAAATTATTGATTTTTATAGGAGAGTATTCAAATACATTCGTAGCATCAATTTTGTTTAAATACCCATGTTTAATAATCACAGGACATCCTACATATCTTTCGTACAGTAGCGTATATATGTAGAAAAATCGACAACGATCAATAAATACTCCAAAATGGTATGTAACAGTTTTTACCTATTACGTCATTCGCATTGTTGCTAATCAGTGATAAAATTTGCTAATCTAGTGTTTTTTGTGATTCGTCTCTTAGGAATACATAATATTTTGTTCACTTATAGTGATGTCAGTCTCTACGGTAGATTTAATTTTGACT